ATACTGTAAATAAAAACAAACAAATAAATAAATAAAGAAGGGCCGGTCCTTTCATTGTCTCTTGGACCAGGACTGTTTTTTCAGCCCCTTGGGTTGCCCGCTTTCCTCTCCCCCTCCCCACAAGAGCTGGTCGCCCCCTGCCCACCACTGGGGGATTGTGGGCTCCCTCTCGCCTACCACCCCACTTCCTCACCCACCTGTCTCCCTTGGAAAAAAGGCAACAGACTGTAAATAAAGAAGGGCCGGTCCTTTCATTGTCTCTTGGACCAGGACTGTTTTTTCAGCCCCTTGGGTTGCCCGCTTTCCTCTCCCCCTCCCCACAAGAGCTGGTCGCCCCCTGCCCACCACTGGGGGATTGTGGGCTCCCTCTCGCCTACCACCCCACTTCCTCACCCACCTGTCTCCCTTGGAAAAAAGGCAACAGACTGTTGGGCTTAAGTTAGAGAAACACAATCTAATTTCCTTTACAAACAGGGCAACATTAATATAAATACAGAGGGAAAAGAAGGGGGGACGGGGGGCAGAAAAGGAAAGGAAGTGATCTTGACATCGCCGGCTCTCTTGATTCTTCTTCTTCTTGGGGCTTCTGGAAGAGAAAAGGGGAGGCCATGAGGGTCCTGGGGAAGGGCCTGAGCCCCCACCATGATCCCGGCAGTGCTCTGCTCTGTGTGTGAAGACCCGGCCTCCCCCTCTGCTGGACTGGCCAGCCGGCCTCGCTCTCCCCCTCCTGCCCCACTTACTGCTCTGGAAGGGGACCGGGGTGGAGGTCACAGCTCCCTGCCCCCCCTGCCCCGATGGGGAGCAGCCCTCCAAAGCCCTTGCCTTCTTGACCTGCATCTAGACACGTCTGATTTTGTCCGGCGCTGGTGTGCAGTCCATCGGCTCCTCTCCGGAGGCTGGCACAGCTCCTATGGAAAGAAGAGGCCCAAGTCTACCAACAGAAACAAACGAACCAGTGATCCTCCTGGGGTTGGTCCCTGGGAAGGAGCCCAGTGGTAGGAGACCTTAACCCTGACCCCAGCCCCCCTGCCAAAGGCCGTACCTGGAGGAGCCGAGGGTGCTTGGTTTGACCTGCCAAAGGGGAAGGATGATGGAGCCACTGGTTGCCCCGTGGCTTTCCTCTTGCGAGATGCGCTGTCCCTGCAGAAAGAGAGAGGTGGGTGGGTGGTAGGAGATCAATCCTGAGATGCTTCTGGCAGGATTTGCTCCTCTAGCAGGGGAAGAGCTGTTGTCTGGCCATGGGACCTCTGCAGGGGCACTGGCACCTGGACTACGATGCCCATCGCCCAGACCATTGACACCCTGGCCAAGGGGGGCTGATCTTGACAGGACACGGCCGCCCTCTCCCTCCACGGAGAGCGGCCAACCAAGTGACAGGAAGAGATGCTGGAGGGTGTCCCTGGTCAGCTGCCCCTCCACCCCGGCCGCAGGCCTCCCTCAGACTGAGCAACCGCCCTCACCTGGGCTGGATCTTCTGGGGGCGATGGAAGGAGGGGGTCTTGTCTTCCTCGTGCTTCCGCCTTCGGGGCAGGGAGGCAGGACGGTCAGGACGGATTAGCGTGGAAGACACCCGGCGAGGACTTGTAGGGCCAGGAGGAAAGGGAGTAGGAGACATGGGGAAAGGATTTGGAAAGGCAGGAGATATAGGGAGAGTTTGCATGGGGGCAGAAGAGAAAGGGGCAGGAGACATGGGGAGAAGACGTAGAGGGGATGGAGAAAAGGGGGCAGGTGAGACGGGTAAAAGATGCAGCCGGTCTTCGATGGGCAGGAGAGAGACGGAGGGAGGGGAATCTGACGAGGAGGACTGGCCGGGACGAAAGGTTGCCTTGTCCTGCAGAGGGAAGCAAAGGCAATGATCAGGAGCCCCCCCAAAAAAAAATCAGGTCAAATCAGGCAGGAGCCCTATAACCCCCACCCGATGGCAGGCTAGTGGGGGTTCGGAGGATAGGGGGCACCGGTCAGAAAGAAGGGCCGCTCCCAGTCAGCACATCCTCCCCCCACACACACCCTTGGTGCTCCTTCTCCAGGTTCAACCCTGGCTCTGCCCTCCCCCTGGAGAAATGTGGGGGGCAGGAATTCAGGAGGAAGGGGCACCGTAAGGCCCCCAGGGAGCCCAGGCTGAGGCCAAGGAGATCCCCGCAGGAGACCAGCACTTCTGGCCTCTCTCAGGGGCCAAGAGGCTGGAGGGGGGCATTGCTTTGTGGGAGGTGGAGGCATCATGCCCTTCCTTACCTCTCAAGGCGGGGGTCCCTCCAGGAGACACGTGACACCGTGGTCTGTAGAGGCGGGAGGGTGACGGGCCGTGGTCAGCTGAGCCGGTGGGGGTCATGGGGCCGTAAGGGGTACTGGGCAGGCGGGGTGTCCTGGGGCAACCAGCCACAGATCGCGATCATGGCCCAAATTGCCACCACCAGGGCCACCAGGGACGCCCTCCCGCCCGGCCCCACACAGGCTAGCTCGACAAACCACCCAGGGATGGTCAAATTCCCGGCCACGAGCGCTGGCA